CTCTCTCTCTCTCTCTCTCTCTCTCTCTCTCTCTCTCTCTCTCTCATAAATAAATAAATAAAATTAAAAAAAAAAATAACCAAAGAGTGGGCTTAGGCAGAGCACAGGGACTAGAGTTCAATCCTGGGCACCACAAGCCATGCCAGCCCTGTCCCTGCAACTGTGCTGAGACAATGATTGAGGCTGGGTGTGGTGGTGCTTGCCAGTAATCCTAGCACTTGAGAGGCTGAAAAGAGGAGGATCACTGTGAGTCTGATCTGTGTAATGAGACCCTGTAGATCCTGTACTAAGTATATAACCAGAGAGTGGAATTGCTGAGCACTGAGCTGAGCATTCTAGAATGAGAGCTGTTGCTCTTAAGCCCTTTCCTAATGTCTCCTCATTCAGTATCATCTGGAGAGAGAAGAAGCTAAAACAAAAGTGTACTGTACAATTCTGAGATGGAGATAATTTCCAATGGTGGATAATTATATCAAATAACAGTGAGAATATCTTTAGGTAGAACCTACTGCTTCTGAAAACTTAGTTTCAGATTTCCTGCCCCCTCCACAATAGTCAATAAAATAGCACAAACCCTAAGAACAATGTGTACACATAAATACTACTTTATTTGTAAATATTCTTGAACTCAATGCATGTTGCATCATGCTAATGAACAAAAAGGCAAAAAAACCCTTTGTTTTTTGAAGCATTTTAATAAAGTAGCAAGATAATATACAAATGTATTAAAATATATCAATATATTAGTGTTATTTTTGTCTGTAGTTACAGAGAAAAATAAAGGAAAGAGGAATATGAAATGGTATATGTGAAAAGATGGATATGAGTGGAAATTTAACATAGAAATAACTGAAAAATCAATACTCATATAAAATGATTGTTGATACAACATACAAGGTTAATTATGAGTTACTATAATAGCAATTTTTGTTGACCCAAGCATCACTAAGTTCATCACTCATGCACTGCCATCTTAAGTCTTTCTATTTCGTAACTATAACATAAAGAGGAGATTTAGCTTATTTTTAAATGAAGATAAGCTTCCACTTTGCATCAGTTGAGGTCATTTAAAGCAAAGAGTAAGCGCAAGGGCCTGAGTTCAATCCCCGGTTTCACCAAAAAAACAAAAATTAAAAAATAAATAAATAAAGGGAATCTAGGGACTCAGAAGCCCCCCTCAAGAGATGAAGGTTAAACTCATGGTTACCAGTGTGGACTGGGACTAGGCAGCCTGGGCTCAAGTCCTGCATCCAGTGCTTACTATCTGAGCAGGATAGTGCTTCTGAAGCTTTAAGGCACTCATCACCAGAACAGAGAAGGGATAGCATCTCATTATATGTTTCTGGGTACAGAGGTTGAAATGAGAAATGTGGTGCTGTGTACTCTGCTGGAAACCTGTAATATATTTCATAAATGGATTCTCTTACAGTGGCGGTTGGGCAGCTTTGGATACATCAAAACCTTCCTGAGTATGAATATCTATGTCTTTAATAATCTGGCCTTGAACATGAATGAACAAAACACACATAGACATACATGCACATATATACACATGTATGTAACGGTTGCTCTGTCAATCTAAATTTCCCCTGTGGATAAATCAAATTATTTTTACTAAAGAACTATGTTTATATCACCTTATATTTTCTGACACTTACTGACATGTAGTAACCTAGAGTGTAAAAAGCTTTCCTATGTTCATGAGTAAGTTTAAATAATATAACTATTAAATTTAAAAGATACTAATAAATAAATAAACCTTTTAGCTGGGGAGATGGCTCAGTATAATAAGCGTTTATCTGGCAAGAGCAAGAGCCTGAGTTCAATCCCCAGTTCCGCAAAAAATAAATAAATAAATAAATAAGTTTAAAAATACTGTTTAGACTTGAAGTAACGAGCACTAGATTCCCCACCCCCATCCCTCATACTCATCTGAATCAGTTTCTAAAAATGGACAAAGCTATATGAAGTAACAATTTCAATACACTGGATAGCAGATCATGAAATCTAGGGGTTACTGAGATGGGAAATAAGAACTCCCAGTTGTTTTTGCTTCCTGGCTTACAAAGTTTCTAGGCTTTCAATATGAGACAAACAAACCCAGAACCTGG